TTTTTGGAAGAGTTTGAGAAGGATAGGTATTAAGTCTTCTTTGAATGTTTGGTAGAATTCACCAGGGAAGCCGTCTGGTCCTGGACTTTTATGTTTGGGGAGGTTTGTGATTACTGTTTCGATCTCCTTACTGGTGACCCAATCACAGATTTAATTGGAACTTAGAATTGATAGGCAGGTGTCTGCCTTAGTGAGCCATTCAAATTCAATAGCATCTAACGGCTATTTGATTGGCATCATCAGTATAATATATCTTTTCAAGCAGAAATCTATATCACGCACAGCCATTTTAAAAAGTAACACAAATTATGTTTTAAGCCAAAGGGTTAATCATTGTCCTTCTTTCAGAATAGAATTGAGAATAGTTCTTCAGGCAACTGTGAGATATGTTGTTTGGTACCTGGGTAACTGATTAAAACAATGGCCTTCAGTTTGCAGTGCCATCAGCCTGGTACATGTCACTAATACTGAATTCATTTTTTAGAGCAGAACCATATACCCATCTTCCATTGCAATTACTGCAGAGGAGAGATTGAGAAGTAAAAATGAAATATTTCAAGGATGAATGGGCACTGAAAATTGGTAAAGTGGCAGGAAAGTCCAAGTTTGAAGAATGAAGAAGTGACTGTACATAGAAAAAGCAGTTTGGAAAACATGAAAAAAATGATATTTTGCAGAAACATCTGTTTGCTGTTGCTGAAAACTTTTAGCATTTAAATGTTCTCATTTGGGCTCTGAAGTTAGCACTTCCCTGAAGTAGTTCACACCTTTGCTATTGCTCCTGTTCAGCTACAGATCATTTTATGCAAGGCTGATTTTAACAAGAAAATGGTGCATTAATTTACAATGTGTTGAGTATTTTAAAAGTGGCAAAATCTAGGCTTTTGTGAAATTTTAGAATCTGAAAAGAATAGAAATACTTATATAAAGCTCTTTAAAATACCACCCTGATTAAGATCATTAGAAAATTCAGTTATAAAAAAATATATCAACCTCTAAACTAGTGGATTTTCTATGACTCTGCAGAGTCTCTATTCAATAATGAAGCAGCTATAATCTCAGACATCATTTAGCAGTATTTTATAATATCTTTCTCTCTCTTACCTACTTGCTCTTGCTCTAATTTTCCCTTCCTGTTCTCTACATCCTGTTTCTCCTCTCTCCAATTCCATTTCCATTCTTTTATTTCTCATTTTTATTTCCCTTTCCTCTTTTTCTCTCCATTGTCCCTCTTTTTCTTTGTCTCTTACCATTTTTCTTATTTTAAATATTTTAATTGTGACTCTTTTAAAAAAATAAACTTGATAATGAGAGCCTGTTGACACGCTCTCTTATCTCCCTCATTGGAGTAGTTAATATTTTGGAGTTTTATATTTCTGAAATATCTTAACATTTCAGACGTAATTAAGATAACCAATGGAGCTACCTGGGCATTATATATGTATCTTGACTTATGCACTTTTGCAACTACCAAACTAATAGGTCAAATTCACTCAAATTTATAGATTCTATTTTATTGTTTAACTGACTAAAGTCCTCCAAATTAAAATCATAAATATGAAGTTGGATCTTTTTATGTTACATGATAAATATTGAAGCTGTAAAGGAACACTCTTCTGATATATTGATTATTCTCTCTTGTCAAAAGTACCACGATAACTGAGTTATCCAAATGGAAAAGAATATAAACTATATTTGAGTACTTTATAGACTAACATCATAGTATGTGGTAGAAAAGGGAGATGGTGTTTGTTTTACTCATTTAGGGCAGACACCAGCCTTCAAAGTATAATGGCCCAGGAAAATAACTAAGTGGGGTACAGGTTTATTCTTCTTTTGATATTTTAATACAATAAAAGTAAGGTAAAGAAATTATTAACGTAAGACAAGGAAAATACTGGTAAGGATGGCAAAAATGTTATCTAATGACAACATAAACTCATAGGTGGTGGTGGAAACACAGAAGCAAACACAAATATTGCTGATTATATATGTTACAAAGCAGATTATGTGCTGTATTAAACCTAGGTTGCTGCAGCGCTGGTTGCCAGTCAAAATATTTATCTCCTGAGCCACTGTCCAGCCTGGAACGAACAGAGCCCCCAAGGATCCTGCTGCATGACATGGTCAGCTCATCCTAGAAAATGTACTTAGGAAATACAAACATTATTCCCTCCATGTGTGATAGTCTGTCATATTGACAGAAACATTCTTCAAAGTATATGAAGAGTTACTGTACACAAATTTAACACATATAAACATAAAGATGTATGGATAAAGACAGATAGATGATAGATAGATAGGTAATAAATAAGAGAATAGACTTTTCCTTTGAGTCACAAATTTGCAGCACTTATACCATATTCAGTTCTTCCTTTTCTCATTCTTTTTTTTTCTCCCCAAAGCCCCAGTACATATTTGAGTATCATAGTTGTAGAGTGGTAGTTCTTCTTTATGGGACGCTGCCTCAGCATTGCTTGATGAGTGGTGAGCAGGTCCACACCCAGGATCGGAACTGGCTCACTCCAGGCCACCAAAGGGGAACGTGGGAACTTAAACCGCTATGCCACTGGGCTGGCCCCACTTTTCTCATTCCCAAATAATATCGCAGTACCTAATGGATTTACAAATGTACTGCATCTCTTACTCAGAGTGAAATTCTATAAGTAATAAACAAATTCTACTAAACTAGTAATGTTGTCTTTGCTGTGAAGCAAAAATACCACAGACACGCTCATTCTTAAGGATGCCAAAACTGAAGGAATACAAAGCTACAGCCCTCTAAGCACAAAAATAGTTTATTGAGCCTCTGGGATCAGAGAAGCAGAGGCAGAGTAATCTAGTATTCTGAAGAAGTCAAAGTGATTATACTTTTCTCTGACCTTCTCACTTCTTAAAATATATTTACATTAGGCTAAGACTATGTTTTGCACTTAGATTACAAAAGATTAGTTCCACACTGGTTTTCTTGGTTTCCTCTCAACTAATCTGTCAATACCAACATTTTCGTGTTCATTCTCTTATCTGCTTATTCCTACTTGACCCTTGTTTTTATTTTTTCTCCCTTTACCTTTGTCTTTTTCTTGCTTTACTGCTCCACCTGTAATTGCAAAGCAATGCAAATAGGCATACATGAACATAGAACCGTATGTCAATCTGCACCTGCATCCAAATTTTTTATCAATTTAGTCCAAGCTTATTGAATTCTGACAAATCCAAATAGAATGATTGTGTATTCACTCATTTTATCTGTAATCTACATTTCTTCCTTTACTTATGGAAAATACATTCAATATCCTTCCTGTATGAGAATCCTTCTTCTGAGAGAAGAGCATTAAGTGACTGGAATGGTAAAACAGAGACCCCAGGGAATGAGAATGCACAAGGGCCAAAACCGTACAATGGTTTTATTAATAATCCACACAGGTTGATTTTTAAACTATTTTCCCTTAGCTTCAAAACAATCCTTTTATCCTCTGCTATGTAATGCTGGGGCTGGGACTCTGGAAAACACGTTTCAGCTTTTCAGGCAGACTCCTTGCTAGACTCTGCTAACAGAGGACACCTGAAAGAGACCAAATGCTAGAGGAGGAAGAAGGGGCACTCTGCTTCCGGCGAAACTCCAGCGGTGCTTCTCCATCCTGACAGCGGCGGTTTGCTCCTCCAGCAGAGGTTGGCTCCACTTTGAGTTTTTCCTGTATTCTCAGAATAAACTCCCTCATCCTCCTTCAGAAGAACAAGTCACACCTGTTGAGTACCTTTCTCAGAAATCTAGTGCCCAGCTCCGCAGGGCCCCTCCTCCAGCTTTGTAAGGCTGAACAATTCCAACCTCTTCCCACCCTAGTGATGGTATCTACTTCTTCCAGTTACCATCTTAACGTCCCCTTTTCGTTTCTTCATTTCTCTAATACTTGGTTAACAGTTCCTGACGTTAAATGCTCTTTGTTAAAATAATAATGTTGTTTCTGATCTGCTGACTGGGCCTTGCCTGATACACTATTTCTTATTTCAGGCTATTAGCTCCTAGCTGTATTCAGTTAAGTGAAAGTAACAAGAGAGAGAAAAGCTGGAAGTTCATTTCTCTCCTCAACTCCCCTGCGTGTACAGTTTCCCTTAGAGAACTCTGGGTGGTAGAACTGATTTGTAGTATTTTCCTCAGGTAAAAAAGCTGCATCTTACAGGTACCATACTGGTTTTTATTTCAACATATATCATTGTTGTAGGAAAAAAATGGATCATTTTCATTATAATCTACTTAAGTAATTGTATTTGAAAAAAGATAGATTACAGTTTATAAAGTTACTACAGGGAGCTCTATTATGAGCTTAGGCAGGAAAAGACTATATAGACTCACCTTAAGCAGGGCAGTGTTTAAATCATTCATTCATTCAAAAATAAACATTGATTATGTGACAAATATGATCCTTCGAGAGATGAAGAACAAGGTTCTTATTTTCAAAGATTTTATATTCCGTGTAGAAGAGAGCTTGACACTAGATGCTATGAGGTTGAAAATATATCAAACGCACACTATGACTTTTTTTAAATACTAAGGCAAGAGGAATATAGGACATACAGGGAAAAAATTAAAGGAATTGGAAGAATAGTATATAGCGTTAGTGGAGGCATCCAAGAGGATACAGATCATTCAATAAACATTTCGATGTTTTAATGTTGATGGTAATTGTCTGATACAGATCATTCAATAAACACTTTGATGTTTTAATGTTGATGGTAATTGTCTGAGAGTACAGAGTAAATATCAGAAATAGCCCTTCCTCATAAAGCTTACTACCTAAGGTAATTTATGTGGAGATTTATTCTTCTGGGATTATCTAATGCTTCAATAACAAACAAAACATAGTGGCTTAAAACAACAGTAATCAATTATTTTCTTCCTGAATCTGCAGTTTAAGACCCTTCATCTCTGCTTTAATCCATTCAAGATGTGGCATCTCTACTTAGGCTAGGGACAACCTCTAAGATGATTCATTCATATGGCAGATAAATTAGTGCTGGCAATCAGCTGGAGGCTTAGCTGCCATTAACAGCAGGACCTGGGTTCCCTTTCACATAGGTGCCTTCACATGGGGAATGCTGAGCTTCCTCACAAGATGGTGGCTGACTTTCAAGAATGAGTATTGTAAGAGATGGGAAATAGAAGCCACCAGTGCTGTAAGACATTGGTTCAGAAACATGAACGGTGGACTTTTGTATACTTTTTGGTGAATTAGTTATAGAGTCCTCATAAATTCTAAGGGAGGGGCCACAGACCCCACTTTTCAATGGGAGGATTGTCCAAGAATGTGAAGCCATCTTTAACGTACTATATGTTCATTCTGTAATATTTGTACATATCTCTTACTTAGGTTAGCATATATCAGGCAATCAGTTTAAAAATATCAACATCAGGGGCCGGCCCGGTGGCGCAAGCGGTTGGGTGCGCGTGCTCCGCTGCGGCGGCC